AAATGTAAGTGGTTTTGTGATGACGGGTAGAAGCAACTGGGTTTGACTAAATGACTAAATTTTCAATAGAAAATCAAGTTATTCGGTTTTGATTGAATCTAGTTAAGACTACCTGAGTATATGCTCCTGACAAGAGTTGTTCGGTCAAGCGTATGGATGGATCGGTCGCATGCCACTCTGGATAAGAGCCGTTACTCTCTGCACTGCACTTAGGTGGGCAGCGGCTGACGGAATACTTGATATATTGGCCACTCACTGATCTCATCCCCAAGAAAGCACATACAGAGGAAGCTGAGTAGAGATGTTCCCTCTATGAAAAGCCAACTAAAAAGAACCACCTGTTTTCCTGTGATTGGCTGATATGGGCTCTTTAAATGGCTTTTACCAAAGTAGAATCTAATTTTGTACTTATATCCGAGCGAATCCTCTTGCTATTTGATTTCCTCACATGGGTTTAGAAGAGAATATCACGCATCAACATATGGAATCTCATTGCAATCGGTGCAGAAGAATTCACTCTGTACTAGACATTCAGGAGACTACAGAAAGGGATAAATCAAACTTGCAGTTTCTAGTGGGTGAAGACTGACACAATGGAGAAAAAATTTTCACAATGGTGTCAAGAATGCCGGCAAGTATTATCCGATCCTATTTTTGGCACTCCAATACAGGAGCGGTGCCCACTGAATTTTGATGTCATACGCAATCTCCTCGTCGGATTCCAAAACATCCAAGCCTAAAGCCAGCTGCGCTGTTTAGACTATATAAAATGCAGTCTTGGTTGATAAAGAGTTTGCAAAGCTGGGGAACACAGTACACAGACCACTTTAGATGATTTTAAAAAAAGATTAAGCCGAACTTTAGATAAAGGGAGATTGGACCTTAAACATAGGCACGTGGTGGAATACCACGCACTTAGGCTTTAAGTAGTTGCAATTCAGAGTTGCTCCAATACCCTAACATAAACATTCTACTTGTAAGTGACTCGCGACTAGTGTAACAACGCTGCTGAAACTGTGGACACAATTACAAGGACGGAATCAGACTGCCGGTGGACCAGCATACCATACCATATTAGACACGAAGCTCCAGTGGTCAGGTTGAGATTTATGCACTCTACTTCCTACTGCATCTGTGCCATCGGTTTCCTCGATACAACCAAATGGTTCACGCCGGCACATTACTGCACCATGTATGCTCTCAAAATTTATCGCACAAAGTTGGTACGAATGACTGAATCTTAGTTATCATGGAACAACAATGTGACGGGCAAAACACTGCAGCGTTAATATCAGAGTTAGTGACATTATCTAATCGAAGTTGGGCCTATGACCTGCAGACTCGCTCCAAACTATTTGCGGCCAAAATATACCACAGGTACGTACGTGCCGGAGCTCGCAACCGCAGCGTGGTCAGTCACTGAACGGTGTGGCTGGATGAACGAAGTGCACTAAATGTAGGTTGTGGGTTTGGCTTTTTTCGCTCCGTTTAGAGGATATATCTCCGAGCTCGCAACCGCAGCGTGGCTGGTCACTGAACGGTGTGGCTGGATGAACGAAGTGCACTAAATGTAGGTTGTGGGTTTGGCTTTTTTCGCTCCGTTTAGAGTAATGATATATCTCCATACACCGATAGATAAGTATGTAATTGAAAAATGCGAATGGATTCAAAGCAGCTGGAGGTGCCCTTACACGAAATCATTGCTTTCTGTCGTACTCGAACCAGAGTGGGTCTGGGGTTAGAACATAGCCCCAAATGACATGTTAATCATTTGTGGTGTCAGTGTCTATCGGCTTGTGTGCCTATCCTTTCTTCCGATGTTCTCGTCAACACATAAACGACAGGAAGCCCCACCGTCGTTCCGCACTTTTTCCACTAGGGAGCTGCAGCTTGAAAACCCTGATAAATCATGGACTCCATTGTTTAACGGGTCTGAGACTGTTATGCACAGTCCGTTGTTTATCGATGGCTTTGAACTATATTTTAGTGAAATGTGTGTCTGACTCATTTAGATGTGCAATATGTGCGTAATCGGACTCATAATTAAAGGTTGTGAGGCCTTCGTATGGTGCATTCATACAATAACTATCCAAATGATGGTGACATGGTGCAACATCGCATTTCGTTGCTGCTCGACTCACTGTCATCACCTCCCGAATCCGGTGGTCTGTAAATCACACTTCTCACTTGCGTAAAAAAACCTTCGTCTTCTTGTACATCGGTCATCCTTGCCATCTGTTTCGATTATACACACCTCTAATCCTCTGCTCCTACGAAACAAAAGTCTGAAACTGCTTCCGGACCACATTTTAAAGTCCGATTCATGTATTCAGACAGAAGTAATCACATCTACTCTCAGTCTTGAACAGTATTCGGATATACAGCTGAACGACATCTTTTTTGAAAATGTTTCTTCTTTGAGGAAACAGGGGAAAGTTTTTTGGTGGTCGCTAGACCGCAAACCAAGCAAAGAGCCAGGCTGTGCTCCGACCCCACTCTACCTCAAGCGAAGTATATTAATTTCAATGTCATATTCATTGGACTAACGAAATATCCCATTGGTCTTCCCCGCTGCCACCAAAAGACTTTCCTGATCGCACCCCTGCCTCTTAGCACAGGAATACGCATTGCGGTAATTGGTACCTTTCACATTCACCAGTTCTCACCAGTCATCCTTGCTTTGAGACATTGTGAGCTTACACTCAATAATTTTTGCCTTTATCCGTAGGGTCCTGGCACAGGCATCTGGTGGTATGTTCCTGAGGCACCTACTAAAGTACCTACTATACAGGTTATAAGCTTGCCCAACTAAGTCCTCCTGGGCGAACAAGGTATGAAGGTTACATGTTGAACTCTGCTGTGGAGATACGGGACTTGATTGGTAGGTGGTTGCTGTCCTAGTCAGCCGAGTTACGTGCACAATGGGTGGACCAATATGTTTTGTCCTATCCTCTCGCCCCCAAGGAAAGGACAATAATTATACATCGAGGCTACGAGGTTAACATGTATCCATAGACTGTAGTAGTGTAACTTTCTGCTGTCACGATGATGTGGTGATGGTAGGTGATCCAGCGTGTCTAGCTGGATGAATTTAGATTGTGCCAAAACTAAAACCCCATGAATCTTTGACTACTGCTCGATTGATAGTAGCTAAACCACTCAAAATATAGATTCTCACACATGGTAAGCTGTGACCAGTTTTGTTTTGGGGTGGGAACGGGATTGATACAACCTGACGTTCCGTGTACAGTGTATCAGTGTGCTTCCCCAAACCAGTATTAATCTTCACCAAAAACGGGAAACTGATTTTTGACCACGAAATATATGATGAAGAATCTCGGTATCGCTGGCTAGGAAGAACTGCTCCTTGAACCAGTTGTTTCGACTGCTTCATACTGAACTTCGTTTGCTTGTCCTCTTCATTGTCCTTGTTAAAAACATTCCTTTAAGTCAAAAATCTCATGCTGCCCCAATCTATGCGTCAGCGGTAACCTTGTCATAAGCGTTAAAGCTGACACTTTTGTACACTATAACAAATCGGTGATAAAACTGAGATAACTACCGTTTCGAATCTATTGCTGATAAATACCAGTTGACTCATCCAGCCTGTGTAAGAGGTTTGGTTCCAGAAAAAGTAAAAAATTGCTGAGAAAAAACCGTTTCACAAAATTCGATGGTTTCCCAAAGACCCATACATGTTGCATGATCTAGGTCAGTCAGAGCAAGGGACACTTGGGGGACTAACTTTTGTGGTAACGATTGAAATGAGTGCTCATGCCACCATCAGACGGTTAACCCGTGGAGACTTGGTTCTGTTGAAAGTACAAATTCACTTCAATTTATAAACTGGCGCACGGCTTACGAAATCTGGCTTTATCTTCCACCAACGATATTTGGCCCATCGGTTTTGAGCCAGATTGAGAACCCAGCTTTGAGGTGGGCGCTTGTTTTAAACTGTTTTGAACCGACCGAAACTGAAGACTGCTACCATTCTATGTAACGGAGATGGGCTTGGCATAGCTATGAAACGTATACAGTTGAATACACAAGGCTCGGACAGGTGATTGGGTTGATAGGTTGGCAAGCGGATAAGCAATCAGAAATAGATATAATGAAGCAAAAGCAGCCTAGATAGTTTCATATTCTTCAGTGATATGATTGGCCTATTCAGTATTCACTGCATGGCTACAGGTCCATGCAGGACAGGAAGACTCACAGATCCGCTTCTATGCTCTGAATTAACGATCGAATTTTTCTTTGGATGAACTGTTCACATGACCTATTCTACTTCTTCTGTGGCAGCACCGATGGAGTCGAGGATACAGTTCGTCCTGCTGGTGATTGTTGAAAAATATTTAGCCATAATATGTCTTTTACTTTCTGCTCATCTTACCCCCAATCAGACACTTGTTATCAACGAAAAACAAAATTAACATATTGTGTGACTCCGTCGCGCTTTCGGTTTCCGAAATTTCAGCGTTCTATAGGCCAGAAGGTGAACCGGCGGTCATACTGATGTTTAAATGTGGGATCACTTCCCTCACACTACTGGTACTGACTACCCGAGGAGTCCAACTGTGAATGAAATCATGCTACTTAAACCAGCAGAGGAAACTTTATTGAATATCGTTGCTATGGGATCTCGTATAGTTTCGGAGAGTATCATTATTTTATTGAGTACAAGGGAGTCCATCATGCCTTCAGAACGAACGATTCGAGCGCTCAAAAGTGAACTTCCCCGTCTTGATTAGCCCTCATTTTGTGCGGCTACTCTTTTCTTTATTTTCTTTTCCCTAATTCTTTCGCCGTTGTGGTTGCGTTGCAAGTGCAGTTACGCATGGTCGCCGGTTGGTTTAACTCGCTATGCATGGTCATTTGCCGTCTGGCCAGCACCTCAGACATCGCAGTTACATTCTAAAGTCACGTTCATGTATTTTACCAGTAGCAAAACGTGCTTTGTTATCATGTCACCTAATTGCGATGTGTATTTTGGTTTTCAGGGACTGTTCATTGCCACCATAGTTTCTTACGAATTCAGATCCCCTGAAGCCTTGGGCATTGTCTACACACCAGACACGTGGGTGAGAGTTATCGCATGGCTGATCGTCTTCAGTTCGGTCGTCTTCATCCCTATTATGATGATCGTACAATTTTTAAAGGCCGAAGGATCGATCAAACAGGTGAGTTTAGCAAAAACTGAAATTGAAAAAAATTGAAAATATTGGTGAGGAGAACTCGAGGACTGTACCTAACTAAGAACCCAAGAAGGATGAAAGCAATCAAAGACTGTCGAAGAGTATCGTCAATTTTATAAGTAAGGATATCGCGACATCTCGAATATCGTACCAAATGAAACATGAGGTGGTTGTTGTGTAGTGTGTTTGGTTAAAAAAATAGCACAACCGAAAGACTGAGTTAAGGCTCCCGTCAAAACCAAACTAATGCGCAGATGTTTATTTCGCAAGTTAAGAAAGACTTTTTATCATTGAATAATTTTGACCGATGGCTAGCGACATGCCATTTTATTATATCCAAACGAAGATGTTCTCATTCGGATACTCCCTTTCAGATGCGGTGTCAGGGGATTTAAGTCTGTCCTGGTCCCTCGTGATCGTAAAGGCGCAATAACTGACAATAGAGATATATCATGTCCGTTATAACATTTTGGGTTCGAGCAATTATAAATTATCTACCCTCGCCAGGTGCATGATCTCATTTTCAGCTTTCATAATCAAGACATCAGTGGTGAACATGAACAGTCGGTGGATTTCATTTGCCTTTATTTGTCGTTGGTCTATTGGCTGAGCTGGTCTTTATATATGAGTAGCAGATTTTTTCATATGCTGATACTCGGACTTGCTCTACATTGGTTGGTGCTGTGTCGTTGGTGATTTGGTTACTTTTGCCAAAGCACGATCCTATTGCTTACATTTACAAAGGGGCCTGTGTCAATAGCTACCAGTAAGTAAATTCTCCAAATACCTCCCAGTGATTTATCCATCAAGAGAGACAAATATTTTTAACCCAGATGTTCAACTGAATTCACCAAAATCAGTAGAATATCGGCCAGACAAATAAAGATTCAATCGAAACTTTTACCAACGGAGCAATAGTTATAGTAGTCCCGTCTTAAGTTGTTCTTCGTTCGCAGACGAAGTACACTACTCATAAAGTTGCTGAAAATTCTGCAACAGCTTACGACCGGTTTCACCCGTCTTGGGGCTCATCAAGTAGGCGCAGTCCCCGAGTTTCCGCCAAATTATGTTGCACGAAATTAGCGAATGCACTCATTTGCAAACAAATCTGGTTTTGCGAGATACTCACCTGAAACCCAGCTGAACCTCTCGTCTATGGTGTTTTCAAGCAACTGAGTGTGCTGCACGAGGCCACCTAACGTTTCAGTTGGTACGATGTTCGAGATATCGCGATACATATTTGGACGTAGTACACTACTGATAAGGTTGCTCACGTCTGAGACGTGTTTTACCAATATACTCAGAGTAGTGTTGCCGTAACAAATTGTTCTTTTCATCGGCATTTGTAAATTTCAGTTTATGGAACGGAAGCGTACATTTTTATCGAAAGGTGTCAGACTACTTCAATCTTCGGTCATAGACACTGCACGCAATCTGTCACTAGTCTGTCAGGATGAATAAACCTTGTGCTCACATGTCTCCCATGTCATACCGTTCCCTAAATATTCCCACCCAGGTCAGCCGTATTTGCTCTACACAACATTGCAATTGATGGGTCACAGTCCTATGTCGGAACTTGTAGTGTCCAGTTGGAACGAGAGCTGACTAAACCTGTGTTGTACTTATGGCTTGCCATGTGCCGACACCCATCTATAAGCATGTATTAAGGCACTTAACAGTTGTACCTTAAACGCCTCATGTAAAGTTGTGTCAACAGAGGTTCCAGTCCTATTTAATGTTGTCGCATTTATGTGCTTTTTCGGTATCTTATTTTCATTTGTAGCGTTTACGTTATCTCATAACACCCGAGGATCGCCCGACCTATAAGGACCAGAAACAACCAGCAGTTCTCAAAAGCTCCAAACCCGACAAACAGATTGTGGAGAATGAAGTTGCAGAGGCAAAAGAACCATGAAGTGTATACGTCTACAGTCAATTCCTTATAATCTAGTAAACTTTCGATATTCAAGATTACGGGCCCACTTCCAACTCTGTTATTCCACACCCTACTTCACTCCAACCCGCTTGGAGTGTAAAAACCTCTGAGAGATCTAATGATGAAATTGGATATTCCACCAAACATACCTAACTACATTATTGTTTTATTTCGCTTATGACATTCACTTAAAAACTTGTGACCGGCAACGCAACACACTGATCCGCGCACTTGCATAATAATTTCACCGCTTTACGCCATATAGCTTTTGTTCATTTCGTTTGATTGATTTCGTACAACGGACAGTGTGGTGAGCGTGCTGCTTTGCCTCTAACCATCAGTTATTCAACTATATCACCCACTGACTGACTTTCTGTGTACTTTCAAACAGAGAGATGTTTGGTTATGTTAAAATGTGTTTATTATGGTTTTGTCACCCATGTCACTTAAATCGAGATTCCATTCTATGAAAAGGGTTTTCCGTGCATTTTTATCTTTTTATGGAGTTTCTAACCTGTTTTCAGTATTACTGAATGGATAGTTAGATTGTGAACGCGATTCAAACTACAGTTTCCTCATTTGCCTACAGGTTTATTCCCCCCTATCCTATACTCAAAACTCAGAGAATCAGACTTGCGGTGGTTGTGCTAACAAGCGACAGGTCCCGAAGGTGTTTTCCATTCTGTTGAGTTAGCACAGAATATCAACACTATCACGTACCTATGTTGCTTGCCAGAGACTTGGTGATCCATTTCCTATGTGTTTTGCCATTCACTAGTATGTAGCCGTACTAGACCTCCATAGCCATTCACAGTAATGAACATTTTCTAAATTTCATCACAAGGAAGCACTCAACATGGTTTTTCCGTCAGCCTAGGCCTAACTTCACCGGCTGACATCACGTGATCTGCCTTCGCTACACTGACTGATCTAGTCGCGCACACTAAACCTCACGTGACTTGACCTAATGAATCAGTAGGATTACAGTCGTTTTTACATGACTTCACAACCGTTCAGCTGCACAGGGGGTACCTAAGACTTAAAAATGGTCACTTCCGAAGTCAAACATCACAGATCGTTGTGTAGAATTCCAGTGGCTTCTCTGCATAGATTGACTTCACTTAAAGGACGATATTTCCACTGAAAATTCCTGGGTTTTCTCAAGCTACAAACAATGAATTTGAATTGCCTAGGCATCTGCTCTGATGCCATGAGGCACACTAATGATCTAGCGATTTAACCTTGTTCTATCTGCGTTTGTTTAATACTAGTCAATTAATGCCGCACTATAATGCTCGCATCTTTTCTGGTACCAGTGATTTTCGTCTTCCCACAGAACGATCTTTCTACGTGTGGTCAGGTACATTTTGCGCCACGTAGATGTCGATTCGCCCTTTTAGACGCCCACACAGATACATCCCACGTGCGTCTTTGAGCGCCACCTATAGACGACGTTTGTTCACTAGTGTAGGTGCATGCAACAAAAAGCAGTCGAAGTAATTCATATCCTGGTGGACACACGCAGGATCACAATACGAATCACCCGACAACAGTCTTGTCTAGCGTAGTTGTTCCAAACCAATACTAGCTGGTGTGCAATCTGGATAAAGGCAACCGAATCGTAAAAAGTTGGGGTTGGTACGCTCCGACCTCTCAGGCCCACACAGGACGAGTTGAAATCTACCGTAATTTGTGATTGTTTGGCCCATTCCAAATGCATGTCCTTATCTCGATGAAAGATTTCCTTCTTAAACGGCTAATTTGAGATGCAATGCTATTCAAGTCATCCAGGAGGTACAGCACACTTTCGCTTTTATTAGTTTGTCTACTACCGTTGACCCATGACACCCAAAGGAGGCCAGGAAAGATCTAAAATCTAAAACGTTTGGGAACACTTATGGAATACTTCTAAGGTGCAATAGAATTAACCAGCAGCTTCTTTCGTATGAGCGAAAATCCACTGGTAGTTTGGTGACTAAACCGTTCTGATATTCGAGAGCGTTGGCATTTGGAGACGCATGTAACCTATCTGCAGATGATGTGGAAACAATAAGACATTTTTCTAACGAGCTGCTTTCTGCCCTGTTGTGCACTCAGTCTGAATACTCACGTCTGAACCGGTAGACGTGCTCGCGCTTGAGCGATGCGAGTGGTAAGTCCGGCGCTTCGAAGACCGATCCAGTAACATACCTTGGTTGTGCCGATCGATCGGTCCGCTTGTCAGGACTTCTCAGTCAGGTGATGCCATGGATGCTTAAAACCTTGGGTACTTTTTGTTTAGTTTGGAAAATGGTTGAGGGATTTCTAGAATGCACTGCTGATGAGCTCTAATAAAAGCAAAACTTGAGTCCAGTGTTTCCGCCCTTTGGTGTGGACCCATCAAAATGCTGGTTCCAGGTTACAGGAGCGATCATTCAAACGATAGTGTGAGTGTGCATTCTACAAATCCTGCAAGCACTTTCAACTAATCCATGTTTATTTCTGTTCATGCTCCCCGTTTCACACGCGTGTCCACCACAGCGTGTCCAGGTGGTTATGGTCACAGACTGGCCCAACGCTATCATTGGCTTCACTCACGGTTCACCGTTCGACCAGAAGACCGATATCTGTCGTATTCGTGCTTTACTGTTTTACGGCGATCAGCTAATAGACCTGTTGCTTGCAGTTTGTGGGATATAAGATGCTCTTTTCACGTGAACTATTCAGCAAATTAGTGGATTCTATGGACGTCAACTTAAGCAAACTTAATATCTGAACCTGTGATCCTTGGTTTCATTTTTTTGAGGTGACAATCTACGTACAATTCGGACTCTGGAATTTTTGGCACCAGACCTTCCTGATGAGCCTCAAAAAGGACGAAAATGATAACGGGCTATCTACAACTTGTCGTCAATATTGTAAACAGTGAGATATCAAGAAAACCAGAGATTGTTTAAACTTCATAGGTCGGGAGATATTAGGTTCGAGGCAAGACTACAAAGCGATCAAGAGAGAAGTCAGTGCAGCTAACCTCCTAGGGAAATATGAGAGAGGGTGTGAGAATAATCAAACTTTTCTGTTTGTAGTTTCTTCTACTCAGTCACTTTCAAGCCGTTTATCAGCAAGCTAATATGGACTACTTTCCATCCCCAACTAACCAATCACCCGTGCTATTAATAATGGTCATCTGTTTGCAGCAGAAGTTACATACTGCTAGCTACCCTGATGGAAGCCAGTTGCATGATGCTGGGATGTTGGTGCAGTTCATTCATTCAGTTCACTTAAATGGTATACAATTTGTAATTAGACAACTGCCACGAGCTTTCAGATGAAGGGGTCTTGTATATCGACTACCGAAGCAATGCCTTACTCCGCTTACCATTTTTAGCCACATGGATTATAACATAAGACAATAGTGTATAATTTCGATTGATAATGTCCACTATGAGCAGATGAGTGAGAACCTCGACTGCTCCCCATTCGCGTGTTTGTTTACAGCTTTGGAAGAAATTTGTGACCACCCATAACATGACGTACTGTAGTCTAATTCAAACTGGTACAAACCTCTCGTACGGCATCTGATCAATCGAAATATACTTTATGATGCTTCTGCCAAATCCCTCGATCACCCTGTTACCCTCAGCTCGGTTGCTAAACCTCTCCAGGGCTTTGTTTACTACGAAAACACGGCAATTGGATGTGCTATAATTACAGGCCAGTCTTCTTTCCGTGTAGATCTGTATCGTTCATCCTGCCTGACGTTTTGAATTATATGGTTCCGATAACCTGGAAACTGCTGAAAATTCGACCTACTGTTACCGGATCATCAGAACCATAGGTTGTGAAACAATGTAGTGACATTTCCTACACTCCTGTTTCTATCATCTGGATCAATCGGCCTTGGTTGTAAACTAGTTTTCTCAGTTACAGTCATTTTAAAAAGCATGCGGAAAGTGGTTTGACCTGAAAGAATTAAAAATCACTGACCTTCAGGTTGGTAAATGTTGTACACACTGTACACTGTTGGTTATTCAGTTAAATTATGACCAATGTTGGTGGAATTTCCCATTCATCAACCTGTTTGAGCTAGGTACAATTCACTAAAACCCAAAAGAACTTCCAAAAGCCCGGAAATTATTTTGCATTTTTTGCGTTACTGGTGTTCATTTTCAAAATGCTTACCATATTTCTTCTGTAGCGTAGCAAATGACTGATTGTAAGGGCCGCATCACATCATCCAAAAGATTGCAAACCAATTGTTTGTCCCAATGCTGAATACTTCTTATCAGTAGCTGAAACATCTTTAGTTCACTACGTTACAATGACGTTTGGTGGAACTGCACCCGCAGCATCAGTCACCTGAAAGGCTCGATTTCATATCCCACTCTACGATGTATCCCTCCCTCAAGTTCATCTGTCGCACTCACGGAAACTCCTAAATTCCCCAAAATTGTTGCATCAGTGGTGGCTTTCCCCGACCGAGGTATAGCGGCAGCAGCAGGCGGTAACTCCTAAAACTGCAACAGAAATGCCCCCCCCCCCCGAGGAGCACTGAACCCCTATATTGATGAAGAACAATATTACCCATTGCCACTTTCCATGTACGAATGTTCAAAAAATGCTCTGAGAACCGTCAGAACACAGCTAAATCGTCCTATTGTTGAAGTGTGGTGACTTATCCGCATATAACATTCCGAGAAAAGAAGATCGAGGGACCAGTCCAACTTTTTTGTGTCGCTACAGTTTGAAGATTTGTACAGCCTGCCAGTGACACTGGACACGTGACTGACTAGCTCGTTAAGCTTTCAGTATACCGTTTGACTGAATAAGTAATTTGAGTGTGACATTATCCCTCCACTTGGGTAAATAGAAAGTGATTATCCCTTTTGATGCGTAAGTCGAGATTGTGTTCAGCTATCAGGCACATTCTATGAAGGAATTAGGGAGATCTGAAATGAGAATCCATCGTGTAGGGGAGTCTATCTACCCTGAAAAGCCGGGAAGCACTGTCAAACTGTTTCATCTTTATCGGAAACCAGTGCGCATCTTATGAAACTCATATTTTTGAGACCATGAACTCCGGGCCTTGTGTTGTTGACACCGAGATGTCGGTTCAACCTGGCAGCATTGAATGTCCAACGTCCTTTTCAAACAAACCTCTGCTCATCTCCTTTCCTCCCTAAACATCTGAGTGTTGAGTTTACGAAACACGCATATAAAACCCTACTATGGTAATACATTTAAAGACGGTCCAAGGCAGGTCATTTTTTTCACAGCCTTTGGGTGATCCAGAAGCGGCTTTTTGTGTTCTCAATGGTACGGATATTGTGTTGAGCACAAAGACTCATGAAGCTGTGCCTGACTGGACTGTGTGCAGCCAGACTGACTGGGTCTGTCAGAACCCGTAACCAGTGTTCTCAAACCTGAAGTGTGTTCTGTGAATACGACCGAACAAGGAGGATTTTCCAACCTTCTATTGGTGACCAACGGTACGGATATCACTGTTCCGGCTGACATTTGCTTGTCCAATTAAGGAGAATCGAAATCAAAGGGAGCCGTGTCGGTGGAATATGCGATGCATCATCCTTTGTTCATGTATTGTAAATTCCTAACGTTTTCCCGTCCTTAATTGTAACTCCTGCCCTACTTTCAGCCCCAATGGGTACATGTGAACCGGTATTTGGCCTTCAGGTCACCATTTCGCTTATAACCGCCCCTGTGCTTGAATGCCCCCTGATTGCCTCACGTGCTTGAGCCTGTTTCACTCGCATTGTTTGCAAACCAAGTGGATCACTGTTGCCGACTAGCGTGAACCATTGGGGTTTCCCTATTTCTCACAGCTCTTACTACATTCTACCTAACTAGGGGTTCTGGTGGTACGTGCCACTCGGAGATTACGCTCTGACTCTACCATGTGGTGTGGGTGCTCGCAGCACCGACAACGGCGATGGCTTCATACAACTGTGCTGATCACCATCTCTGTCGTAAGTAGAGCACAAGCATCGCGCTACCTGACCCATCCAAACCGTAATAAACCCGGCACCCAGGGTGGTAACACTTCCGAAGCCACGACTTCAGGTATCCATTGTTTTCCGATGACATGACTGTACCGCATAATCAACAGCCGGTACCCGGCACCCAGGGTGGTAACACTTCCGAAGCCACGACTTCAGGTATCCATTGTTTTCCGATGACATGAACCATACACGGACTGTACCGCATAATCCAACAGCCGGTGGTACAGTGGAAGGATTGTATCGTTTAGTGAAAGAGAGGACCCAGGTGAAAAGTGCTGATGATGTTCGCTAAAACGATACTGTACTGGGAGTTAAGGAGGCATACAGAACTAGCTACTATAGAGCTGAAAGAAATATTGTTTTGGTGCCCTTTTCGCGCTAAACCGAATACCTCACAGGCCACAAAAAACCATACACAGGAGCAAGTCGCCTACCTCACTTTGTATCGTTCAAGATACCGGTGTGTCACACGATGTTGTTCGGTTCCCATTTCTACGTTAACTTTTACTATGAGCTCGAAAAGCCCATTTGTGTTAACATAATTCACCTGTTTACTTACGGTTCTCTCATTGGTTCGCTTGATGGCAGACCCCGTGATCCTGACCTATGCCTGTCTTTTGACTTCTAGCATAAGCAAGCTTGCTCTATCATTAGTCAGTAGTTGCCTCGCTTAGTTCCTATGCGTTGCACCCTGAATGTTTCATATTTTCCTGTACTCATCCAGTACATGAACCTGCGCCCCAGTAGTGCTCTCCCTACTTCGGTTATACGCAGCACATTTGACAGACCCCGACCATATTCGACGTGCGAGTGTTAAAAAGCGTGATTCCAAAAGAGTTCACTTGGTTTATTGTCGACGGACATAAGTGTCATAAACAACACTTGTACGGAGGAGACGTCAGAGTTTCAAATGAAGTCATCGGGAACACAAATAGTGATAATCGTCGACACTAGATATTCAGTATTATCACGACTGCCAAACGTTGGGTTCCAGAATGAATCGATGCCTGTTATCCACTGAGAGCAAGTCAGTATAATCGACGCTTGCACCGCAACCCATAACTGACTATTCGCCCTTCTTGATTCTTCTGGGGAATTCGTTTATCGCGAATGAAATACAGGGGGCAGTAGTGTTCTTTGGGACATATGCATGGCACTTGGCCTCCGTAGATATATCCATTCGTGCTTGGTGTTTCCACATAGCAGAATTGGTCTTCAGTGCATGTGGGCTGGAGTATTAGAGAAAGCGGACAGAATATTGTTCAGGTTGTTAGCGGTTGAGAAAAGGACAGATTATTAAACGCAGACTGGCTTCACTTACAGGATAAAATCTCCATTGAAACTAAAGTGACCGCTATAAGAAGGTTGTGCAATCGCTATTGCATTCAGACTGGTAAAATGAAAGCTCAATTAAAACTGAGTAAAAAGTAGTAGAAGGTAAAAGGCTGACTGAAAAAAATCTCAGTTTCTGTAAATTCTTCAAGGAATAAGACAAACTGTCATGAAATTTATCATACAGAGCTAAGTTAACCTATTCCAACTAATAGGTAGGATCTATAATTCACAGATTTTGTTGTACAACATGCTCATAAGATGCGATTCCTTCCCTTGGTTTGTATTATGTTTAGCCGTGCTACTGATCCGCACAGCTTGTCTCAGAAATAGGCTGACCTAGTGTGCAATCCAACATAATATTATTCCAACAGTGCACTTGTTCCATGACCTACCTAATTACTTGTAAGTACTGTTGTCCAAAATTTTGCTATGCTACAATAAACACCCGGGAATGTCCTCTATTTCGTCTTCTGATGCAAAATTACCATTATTATTCGCCTGTATTTATCCGACTGTTTGCATTCTTGCAATTAGTAGTGTTCGTTAATTGAAGAAATGGACTGACGGGAACCTCGTTTGTGTTAGAAACGGTAAAGGGTGGAATCCTCAGTCATCCTAAAGTTGATAAGTCCATTTTCTAACTGCCACAGCTATCACTGTTCTTCCTGGTTTCCAGTGCGTGTTATCACAACTCAAAATCGCCCTGACTTTAAGTTCGAGCGAAATACGTGGTTAACATTCTACTATTAAAGACAATGCTGCATGGCTTATTCAACTACATATCCGGTCTTTGGAGTTGTTTCGTCTGATGTCCATGGTCAGATATGGTCCATGGCTGAGGGATATACAAACCTCGACCGTCAACTATCTTTCTCGTTCACCACAATTTTCGCAACTACACCAGGGCATTAGCTGAATCGGACAGACTCCGGACACAGGCATTCCTTACCCGTTTCGCGCAAGTCATTTGAATGTAATTTCCGCGGAAAACTTTGTCTTTTGGAAGTACGCCTTTGCTGTATCCGTATCGTTCGACGTCGGCAACACCAAGACATCGACAGTTGACACGGTCCAGCATTAACCACGTTCCGGTTTGGCGAAGCTCAAAAGCGATTTCGGCCTCCGCACCCGTGCAATAACGGTGATGAAATGCGTAGATGGGAGAACAGAAGTGTGCTTGAAATTCATAATCTCGCATATCTGTGGATTAAAAAGGAAAGCTTACTGCTCTGAACTAGTCATTCACCCGACAGTAGAACCTTGTTAGTAAAACCAAACATCAGACTCCAAAGCCTGCACATCTTGTGAAACTTAGATTTCAGAAAATGTAGAGGACTGACTTTAAGCAAACTTCAAAATAAGACACTAACGGTATGCAGCAATAGGTTAAATTTTACGAAATAACAGCTTGAAATCCTGGCTAGATCGTGCATACCACCAAAAATGATAAAATAGCTCATGGTGGATAGCAAGCGAGCAACTCCAGATCTGTTGGTTAAATGAACAGAACATGCTTCAGTTCCAAAGCTCTGGAAAAATTTTACTGAAATGGGCACACAAAAAAACAATATGGTCACTCTGACCACCACTCGACAACAAACTCAGCAATTACACTATAAGACACAGTACCAATCGGATCGTTTACGCACTAATAGCGAGATTCGGGTTTGCTGATGAATAGAAGTTTCCACGGCAATATTCAGTGCAGTGAGATCCAATCACACTGACTCGATTGAAGCACAACTTAAGTATGAAGAAACTGCTGTCATCAGAATACCTGCCAAACTAAGGTGGGTCGTACATAAAAACCTATGCATACAGTACTGGTTTTAATTCCGCTTGCTTCTCTGGAGTATAAACAACCATTATATACAGCAGTGTCTGAAATATTCTCCCATCCGGACAGAAGCTACCTTTTTGTTGCTAATCGGGGATTTTAATAACAGACTTGGGTAATTAAAATGCAGAATGCACATTTATTACATGGGATTCTAAGACTTAGAACAGCTTAGTGGGATAAGGTGTTGTAATCCGAAGTTTCGGTTGCCGTGGGCAACCTTTTCCAAAGATTTCCGCAATCAGTTGAATACGAGTCATTTGGGTCCACTATTATATCTTATGATTGATGTGGTCCTATGGTCAGCGTCCCTTCTGTCTGGTTTTGGCTTGTTGCAAACCTTACTGGGCATAGCAGCAAGAATTCAAGCAGGGATCTTAACAGTGAAGCATCACAGCTAGCACAGAAACAAACGGAGGCACATCCTAATCACAGCACACTCTCAATCACGCGTACAGGCACACAGAGCCAACACACACACGGGGCTCCTGCTCAATGATACTTGCACCGAACATAGGTGAATGAAATACGAGTGGGTGGGCTGGTTGATCGGAAGANAACCTGAGCATATGGCGACACTATAGTGCAATGAACCTGGCTACTGACCCTTTGTGACCGCTTTGACCTTGCTGCCGTGGTTATGGTGACCCTTTTTTCCGTGGGTGACCGCCTACGAGTAGCGTTGTCTGATTAGATATATCCAGACGGCGATCGCTATGGCCACTGGACACCGACTGCCACTGACGGGCCGGAAAGCAAAATCTCATTATTTTGATGGTAAGGATAGATGCCGGAGCAAACCTTGTCGGTATGACTACTTATTTCACTCAGACACTGAACTGGTTAGGGCTCGTAAAGGGAACTACTCACAAGATTACTGAAAACTCTCCAATAGCCTGCGATCGTTTTCACTTCTATTGGGGCTCATCAAGTAGGCGCAGTCCCCGAGTTGTCGTCCACCTTATGTTCTACTTGAACCCAAATTGGACAGATCTCGACAAATACACTCATGTGCATATCTACTGAATTTTCACAGGTCGTGGGCTAAGAGTTTTCAGCAACCTTGTGAATAGTCTCCCTCATGAAAATAAGAACACAAACATTAATGTTTTCGGGATCTCGTCATCAGGTCAGTACACATCTAGTGGTTAAAATAGGAGCGAAAAATTAAATACGCAGCGAAGATTGGTTGTCTGCGTCCCAACGTCGCATCTAGTTTGATGCTGTGAGACAGTCAAGATGGCCGTTCAGTGATTTGGTTGGTTGATTCGACCAAGGCAGTCTCAGCGTTCGTATGAAACGTTTTTGACAGCACAGTACCGGGCTTTGGGTAGACTCCACATAGAGTATGTCCAGACACGAACATCAGAAAGCTTTTTTGGTTCATAAACTGTTCAGACGTAAAGATTCAGATGCGTTCGGCGTGCACTGGTGGAGTAGCGTTAACACGCTCGCCTCGCACGTTAGATGTGCGGAGTTCAAACCTCGGTATGGCCAAGAGTATGCACTACTAATGAGCTCTAATAAGAGCGAAACTCGAGTCCAGTGCTTCCCACTCCATTGAGCTGGAGTCACTCGAGTGATACCTCCAGGACGGGAGGATGACTGATCAAACGAGGGTCATGTGAGTGTGCATTTCAAACCAGCCGTCAGCGAATGACCTTGTCTAGTACGTACTACTTTCCGTCGTGTCGTTCTGTTCACATGATGAATGGTCTACCCGGTTTGTCACGTGTTCATGCGCGCAGCTTTGTCCAGGTTCGGTCTTGTTGCTTTCTCCGATAAACGGCAGGTTGTACTGTGCAACATGTTAGCCGGTCAGACAGCTAGGTATTACAGTGCGAGTGTTAGGGGCTGTCAAAAGTTTCGTTCACCTGATAAGGGTGTCGCATCAAGGATGACTACGTTCCATTACTATCACCCAATGCATTTGGAAGCTAAGGAGTTCATCCTAAAGTGACTGTTGTTTGTCGTTCAGGCAGTTTGTGCGCTGGAACAGTGCATTGGAAACACTCGAAGTCAGGCTGAATCGAAATATAGAACACTGTAATTCTCGGATGTGCGTACGAGCAAGTTCAGGTAATTTCATTTTGTTCAAGCTTCCCGTGTGTTTGGAATTTCCGTTCAAGAGACTAACTGCAAATTTCGCGAATTAGCTGGCATACACACGGCGGTAGACAGGGTGTGGAAATTTTAGAAACATATTTGTGGGTACATATTTTGCCTGCACACACGGTCCAAACGATTGCGTAGAGCACAGCATACCCTACAGGCCTATCAGGCCTGAAATCCATGGTAACCCAAATGAACTGACTAATCGTACTCGATTTTTCCGATTTGCGTTCGATTGGAAGCGTACGCAAACAATACCTAACAACGGCCATTTGAAGTGAAAACTGTTAAATCTGTGTCAAAGATGTTTAACGGCCCAGAATAAGACTTTGGGTAGCCCTTTGCAGCCACCTTTATTCAAAGGCTAACAGCTCACATTTCACAGAATTCCATACTAGCAAACAAAATCCACTCACGCGGGCTCCTGTCCTCGTTGAGGGAGCGTAGATAGGATGCTAGGAAACACTAGGCTCAGCCATATACCAATAAAATTACGCAATATGTTGTAAGCGCTGTTTAATAAATCTCATTCGAATTCCTTAGCCACAGGTGCTTAAGTGGCGCTCATTTTTCATGCTATCATGAGGATAGAATGTCAGGGTAAAGAACTGAATGAAAAGACAATAAAATTACGCAATATGTTGTAAGCGCCGTTTAATAAATCCCATTCGAATCCCTTAGCCACAGGTGCTTAAGTGGTGCCCATTTTTCATGCTGTCATGAGGATAGAATGTCAGGGTAAAGAATTGAATGAAAAGGAGCCCAGGGGAACTTAATGTAAAAAGCCCTGTGACTTTGGGTTAAACGGTCCGAAGCCATCAGTAAGATTGGTCTGACATTCTTTATGAACCTTAGTCAGCACAAGCCGGGGACACAATGACAAGCAAACTTTAACTGGACACCCCGGTTGAGGAGTAACGGTATGCTCACTACTGGGGTAACGGGTTACACAACATGTCTTTTTAAGTGAGTACAAGTTGAATTGCGTTTGTCCCAGCTTGGGATCTGACCAGATTTTACCTAATTTGAATGAAGTCTTTTTTTATTTCACACTGCCATGTCACTGTCTGTTATTCACGAACTTTTCACTGCAAAGGGTTTGGAACAGCGAGTTCTTTAACAGACATCGATTTTTCCTACCAACCCTAGTCTTTCGTTTCTTCCCTGATGACTCTCTTCGTTATCAATCGTTTGACTATTTGGGACCACTTCTCTGGGCACAAGCAGTGGGCAGCCAAGTTCTGTTGTGCTACGAAGACACCGGTGAACAATTGTTTGGAAGCGTTTTATGTCCTTCCACCTGGATAACAAGTTTCAAAACCCCGGTCGGACTTACACAAGCCTTGTATTCAATGCCAATAATTCGTTTATGGTGTCTTAAATGACTCAATTTGGGAAAGCTGCTTGGGATTTTGATGCCCGCACTGAATTCATACGCGACAGCGCAGTCACGGCTATGCAGTATGCAAAATACTTTGACGGATAAGTACCCTCCAGTTCTTCACCTTGACAGTTCAAAGGAATGAAAGGGAAATGAATGTTTTTCGGTAGTGTGAAAAGCATTCGTGTAAACAAATATAAGTACCGATTAATCTTCGGTGTTCTACCTTTGGTAACGACCTTACTGTGGATGGGGTCACGCTGATCCATGTTGATGCAAAATTTCACATCGGCTCGGATTTCGCAAACATCTGTCATACAAAAGTTTTTTTATTAAAAAGGAGAAATCTTCAAGGTGCAGTTTGCAACCGATCGAAATCAGGATGCCTTGAGGATAGAAATTTCGAAAACAACCCAGAAGTTACTCCTGTGATGTTACATTTAACGGATAAATGACATGGTGGAACTCGTACATGCTCACTGGGTCGTGTCCCATGAACGAGTTAACCTAGTTGACTAAACAAATCATGAGAAACGACTGAACACACGCGATAATTCACCCACAGATACGCGACTAGAATCAGAGCGGTCGATAAAAAGCTATACTTAAAGAGTAATAAAACAGTGATGCTCTGAAATTAAGTGACTAAATAAAGTAAACTGTTCCAATTGATCACTCTGCAGGGACCTGTCATTGGGTTTAGAAATAAGTATATCCAGGGAACGGTCGTTCGTTTTACACTCAAATGTAACAAGGACGTTGGGATGGGTGGATTAAGTACGTCTAAGAAGGACTAAAAGCTCCCCAAATCAGTAATAACGAAAATGTCATCAACAAATCGCTTACGTAACAGAGATTTCGAACTTGTTTCAGATGTTACCATTTCGAAGCATATGTCTTACATCAGTTCGAATGGGACGGATAAATAGGACACAATGTTCTAAGCATCTCATATCGTTTAAGGAAATTATAAATCATTCTCAGGTCAAAATATTGTAAGGCTAGCAAAGTAAGCAACCATTGATCTTCTGTTAAAGGGTTAGTGTTCTTGACTCTCAAACATTGTTAGAAAGAGGTATTTGTGATACAGCTGAACCCAGGTGAAACAGTACTAACCGTCTGTTCCAACCAGTTTGAATGTAATTGACTGCGTATCTTGGGTTGGAAGCCAAGTCAGTGGACATTTTATTCGCCCATGACAAGTTTGACGGCGCTGAATTAAAGGTCCTTTACCAGTGTGATATTTCGGCATATCGAATATACCTCCTCGTTCGAGCCAAGCACAGGGGGCTAGTGAACGCTGTTGAATGTGAGATTGACAAAATAGAGAAAGTGACAACGAATGTTACGGATTTTTAATGAGAACACAGAGTGACGAAAATCAATGTATTTTTTTGATCTCGTCTTCAGGTTAGTACATACGTAGTCGTTAAAATAGGAGCAAATACGGAAGTGGGTTAGCTAAGACTAGTCACTAAATTGGGAAAAGTGGAAACACTGACGACTGACAGGCAGTGCAAGCCAATTTCCGTCTGGTCGAACGAATGAGTCGATCGGTTTGTGTCCAAGGCAGACTCAGATCCAGTTTTACTTAATCGTACGGGATTTCGCAATCGTACTGTTAGGAGGGTCAAGTGGTTCCAGGTCGAAATTAGAGGGAAGACAGAATAGAAAGATGTAATGTACGCTTTAATTGTCTAATAACGATAGTGCATGAGCTGAAGATATACGGTGAGCAATACGAGTTGATGTTATTTGAATGTTATGGTTTGCATAGGCATGACATTCCCCGCCTTAGAATAAGTGCTTACTTTTGCGGCGAACAAGAGTAAAAAGATAGAAGCTGCGCATTTCTGTTGCGCAGATCATATGGACGAGTGCGCTGTTGTCGCGATTTCCTGGATCTGCACTGGAGTTAGATGATGAGGCATCGGTAATTGGCAAGAATTCAGTTTCCGAACAATCACGACCGATTAATGGTTTTGGGTGAGGTTGCTCTTGTTCAGCCATACGTACCGGTTCCAGTTCTGTATCGGATATCGTGCCGTTGACTTTAGAAGCCGTAAGGATACGGTTTCGTGTTCACCATCTTGACGGACTACGTGGGTGTACGATGGGCTGCAAGAGATGTGGTCCACTTCCTGTACGGGATGGTCATATTGGAAGGCTCGATTGTTGCGTTTTAAGAAGATCCGCCTAGAGACAGTAAGCCATGTAGGTAGGAAGATACCGTTGGCTGATCTTCATGTGAACGGCAGGAAACCTTCATACGGGGTACAGTTGGTACTGGTGCATAAAAGGGATCTGATACAGTAGAGAGCATCAAGAAAGACAACCTCCCAATATATGGCAGGCAAGCCTCGTGATTTTAGATCCAAGCAGTCGGTCTTCCAAAGAGTACCATTAAGTCGTTTAACCTGACCATTACATTGTGGTATGCAGCGGTGGAAGGCTCGATTGTTGCGTTTTAAGAAGATCCGCCTAGAGACAGTAAGCCATGTAGGTAGGAAGATACCGTTGGCTGATCTTCATGTGAACGGCAGGAAACCTTCATACGGGGTACAGTTGGTACTGGGGCATAAAAGGGATCTGATACAGTAGAGAGCATCAAGAAAGACAACCTCCCAATATATGGCAGGCAAGCCTCGTGATTTTAGATCCAAGCAGTCGGTCTTCCAAAGAGTACCATTAAGTCGTTTAACCTGACCATTACATTGTGGATTATATGCAGCGGTGTGACTAGTGGCAACACCTTTGTCCAACAAAAACTGTTTGAGTTCAGTTGACATGAACTCAGAACCCCGATCTGAGTGAATGTAAGCAGGCATACCAAACAGTGAAAACAATTTACCCAAAAAGCAAATCACAGTGGAAGAGGCGCAGGTATAAGCAAAAGGGAATCGAAAGTACTTGTCAACTATTGTTAAGGGGTACTTATTAGGAGTGTTTGATGGAAGTGTGTCTTTAAAGTCGGTACGAAGGCGCTCGAAAGGTTGTGGTGCTTTGATAAACTGGCCGCGCAAAGTGTCACAAAGCCTTGGTTTGAGTTTGGAGCATGTGGAACGGCTAGATACTACACGTCGGATATCGCTGACTGAAAAAGGAATGTTCTTAGAACGAATAACATGTGCGAATGTCGCGCCCGCAGGATGGCATTATGTGCTGTGAAGCTCTTGAAGTTTTCTGTCCCAGCAATGTTGGCACAAGGATTACGAGATAGGGCATCAGCAGCGCACTCGTCCGTTCCTGGTCTATAGGAGACGTCGTGGCTGTGCCCCGCCAATTCGGTTTTTCACCATTCAATCTTGCATTCTTTACTTCACTCTTCTGTTGGTTTCCGTACATAACCGTGATCCGTAATCAGTTTAAGATGTCTTCCGAGGAGTTAGTGGTGCCAACTGTGGATCACTTCTATGACATCATGTGCTTCTTTTTCCATAGCAGAATGATTTTTCTCGCTTGCAGTCAGGATCCTGGGTAAAAAGGCGAGCGGCTGGTTACCCTGGCTCAGGGATGCACCAATAGCGACGTCGGACGCATCAGTTTCGACCAGAGGGGGAAATTGTAGTCGACAGTAACGAACACTCTGTCCTACAATTCTTGCTTTAGGTTCCCGAATACCGTTTGGACACTCTCTGGAAGCGGAGATATTTTGTTTATAACCAAAGGATGAATTTTGTCAGAAAACGCCGGTATCCACTGTGAATAGTAGGCGAACAGACTAGCGGCTCTGCGCTGCGATTTCCGTTCTGTAGAATTAGGAGTTCTTTTATAGTGCGCATGCGTTCTGGGTCACGTTTTAGCCACGACACGCATTGGCACTGATTCAGCCGTACTTTTAACGATGTACATTGGAGTTACACTTCCACTGTACTCCCACATTTTACCGATAAATCGATGTAGCCACTACTGGCATTCCATTTGGCATTCTATTGGGCGACAGTATATGGGTAAACTTGGCCGTTTGAATGGGGAGATTAGACGCACCCACCTTTATCAGCGGCACATGGACTATATTTTTCGTGGTTGTTTCAAATATTCCGTAACGAACACCTTCTAGAACAAGTTTAACAAAGTGAATCCCTTCATTCAGTTTACTTTTGGAACAGAAAGTGATAACGCATTCCATTTATTGGATGTTAAGCTAGTCAAACTCGCCAGAAGTTCCACTCAGAGATATCTACAGAAAGCCAAAATGGATTCTGGAATTAAGCAGTTTGCTAACTTGCTCATAGCTGAATGAATATCCTGGAGGGATGTTTATGATAGAGCGCATTTTTGAGTGTCCCATATAATCTTACATCACAACCATTGCAAAAGAAGTCTCAAAATGGATTCTGGAATTAAGCAGTTTGCCAACTTGCTCATAGCTGAATGAACATCCTGGAGGGATGTTTATGATTGAGCACATTTTTGAATGTCCCATATAATCTTACGTCAGGACCATTGCAAAAGAAGTCAGTCATTTTCAGCCTGTTGGCAGAAACTGTCAATCACTGTTTGTTTCAGTCCTTACAACGCTCATTTACGGCAGCAACTCTGTTAATTAACAATTCCCTACCCAACTTTAACCTTAAAATGTCAGTCCTCACACAGAATATGATTGTGTATTGTTTCTCCTATTGTTGTTCAGCGGGATACGTTGGACGCACGATAAGGCAACCTGTGTGAGCATCAATTTTCCCGGAATATCAATAAACAGGGTGGTTCAGCCGAAAACTCGATCGCGTCACACATAATTGACACCCGTCAAGTGATCAGTCCGAACGAGTCGCTTTGTCTGCTGCGTGCGTAATAGACTACTACCATCATGTGTTGGCTTGACTACAGCCGAAGCAGTCGCAGTACAACTGCGATCACGAAAAAAAAATATTCTCACGGGTTCAAATTTCGCCTTGGACACAAACTGACAGATCCGGTCAGCGTCTCTATGGCCCACCTTACAGTATCCACCTAGATGCGAACTGGCTTGCATTACCAGCCAGTCATCATTGTTTTCGAGTTTCCTAATTTAGTGATCAATCTTAGCTGTCTCTATCAGTATTTACTCCGATTTTAACGAATAGGTGTGTAATAACCAGTCTGTGCTCTCATTGAAACTATGGGTATATTCAAGCCAAAACTCAATACTTAAGAATTTGGCAAATACGGTGGCTTTCACAACTTAGCAACGAGCCCCTTTAGGGTATTGCGACAAAATTGAGACTACCATAGAAATAATGACTATTGATAATTACCTCCATGAATAGCACAGAGCAGTAGGATAGTTTGTTTACTGAGGCCTACACAATGATTGACATATTCAGCAACCCAATTTATGGCTGCTCTTCACTTCTGGGAAATCCAAGGTGTGGTCTTTGTTTGAGATGGTCCTTTTGCATGCTTTATATGACAACTTTACAGAAATTATGACCACTATGATCTTAAAATACGGTTTTTGTCAATGAAGAACCTGTAGACAAGTGAATGTAGCAAACCTATCAAACCTGTCCAGTTTCCATTTTTGGGAATTTTTAGGGGGCTCACTGCCGGAGAAGTACCAAACACGATCAAGTCATGTGACCAGCCGGTCTACCTTAGACCGGTTGTAAGTGGGCCGAAAATGAATGACTTTCGTGTGGAAGCACTTACTCAACAGGAGATTGCCGATGAATTGGCAAATTACGCATAGTAAAGATACACATGAGCACCGAAACAGTTTGTACTGCATATTCGGAGGAGACTGAGAGGAATAGATTAATCCGGGGTTTTCTAGAACATTCTTTTCGTACTAATTAGTTTGCTAGTGAGTTACGGATAAAGCTGGACTCAAGCAAGGTAAAATGTTTCTTTTTAAATCCACGAGTGCGCCTACTTTAGGAGCCTCACTTAGAACAAGATCGTTTGTATTGTTTGTCGACAACACAGTGGGTACTGTACAACAAACGGGTACTGGAGAGGATAATTCACTGATGGCCCCAACGCAATTATGTGACTATCCATACACGGCAAGGATGACTGGTCGTTCATCAAATGAGGTCCCCATCTACCTTGTCTACTAAGGGACGCACAACTGGCATAGACTTACTGCAAGCAGGCTTGTGTCACAAGTACATATTAGGCAAAGGGAATAAAACGGATCTTCTCCACCAATTACTGAAATCGCTACAGCGACCAATCAACCAAAAAATATTGGACCATCTGAGTTGAACGAGTACCTAGGTTGAGGAGCCGTCAGCAGAAACGAGACCACTCGGGAACTGGAGAAACATACTACCGACAGGACGAACTGAAAACACCGCATTCTAGATTCTGCAATTTGTAGTCTACCGCGATCATCTGGTGGCATCTTGGAAGCGTGGAATGAAAAAATAACCTATCATTGCTTTTGGATTACAATATTTTTGTCTTTGGGTTCAGATTTCCGGGCAGTCAATGAATAACGTTTAGGTATGTGGAAAATTTTTAGGTTAGGCCTTTTCATAGTCTGAATATGATGTCTGCAAAGTTGAGCATTGTTGGTGTTGTATCGGGCGGGGTGGCTGTCTATGGGTTACGCCTGCACTGAGCCTGCCAGACTGCGTGATTGGGAGAAGAAAGAGAACTCGGGACACGGCTGTATTGCCAGGACAAAACCTACAGAGCGTCTGCGTAATATATAGGATGACTAAATGGCCAAATATGGTCGTTCACTTGTTCGCTCCGTACAACTAATGGCGGTGTTCCGGTCGTGAACAGTCCCAGGCCCACTACGCTGGTCGTATGTTGCTGTGCCATGTTTGGTGAGAGTCGCCAACTCAACTACTTTCCGGACGAGTCGTATCGATGGTGACCTTGAGGATGCGTCACTCTCTGCACATGTACTTTTTCCATGTCTGGGTGCGTCCTGATAGTTGGAGAAGTACTTGCACTGAAAAATAGACTAGTTCTTCTATTTCTCGGGTCAGATAGCTGGTTAATCCTGGGCACATTTCGCAGTCGGAATTATATTAGCTACACCATGATCAGGTAGAAACATTCAGATCTTGGTGCTTCTGGATCCCCCGAGCACGAAAGTGAAGGTGTGATACTAATGTGAAAATAGAATCGAACTGTTATATTCATTCTTTGAAGTAATTCTGTACTTAGATTAAGCTTTTCAAAGAAAACACGTCTCATCACCTGCTAACGGAACATGCAGGTCTCAATCAGACGTGCATTACTGCTTGAAACGGCGTACTCAGTGCACTTGCACTGATATCTCTCTTAAGTTTGACAAACATACGCCGATTACGGACCGTTGATAACCAGCACAGTAATCCCCTTTCAAACGATGAACACACGAGGGACGATTAAGCTAGTCTCATTTTGGAGGAGACAGATACTTTCCTGGAAAACACCTATGACCGTGCGGACAGATGCTATGTACGTACGTCAACTTTCGATAAACTGATACATTGGAACTAATGCGCAAATATTGTGGTACTTGTCAATAACGCCTGCAGGGTATGAAGAACCTCTTAGGAGAACCAACTGGGTTGTCCATAGACACCGTCTACATGCTAAGGATGAGTGCAATCCCTCTAAGAATCCACTACCTTACAAATGCCACCCGGACCCAAATGAGAGCGTCAAAGTTTCCCTAGAGTAAAAAAAGGAGTAGGATTTTTTTCATAAAGGAAACTACTCACGAGGTTGCTGAAAACTCTTCGACAGCCCACGACCGGTGGGCTGTTTTCTAAAATATTCAACGAACTTACAGCCGCAAGTGGGTACCTGTAAAAGATGGTTTATCCACAGGAAGAAAAGAATAGCAGTTGTGTGACATACATATGGAAACCATGTTGTGGACCCACAGTCACTTAGAAGGACCAGTTTTACCTTCATACTGTTGTTCACACACTTAATGACTGTGAAAGTGCACGAAAGTTCATTGCATGAATTTCTCCCCATAGAAGCCATGTGTGCCATAGCCCATTGGAAAGGTTTTGTTTGGAGGGGTGGGGAGCTGTATGTTTACTATCGCGATTACTTAGAATCAGATGGTCATTTGGCAAAAAACCAAGCTCACTGTTTTACGATGAGCCTCGTCACATTATCGGGCAAGATACTTTTCATTTGCATCCTTGCTTACTGTAGATGTAGTTTGGAGATGACCGTCGTCTTTTCATTGCTAACGGACTCGGACTGTTATCAGGGTGCAATCACCCATCGATTAGAGTTAGAGTGAACACAGCCAGACTCTCCGTGGTTGATGCTCATTTAGCTAAAACATTGTGGTCTCCGGATCAGTTTGGACAAGGTAGTGAGAACAGTAATGTTGTGGACTGAATTCATTTAGCACAATCTCCTCTGCCACAATACAGAATAATATGAAAAAAATTCAGGGCTAGTTGCATCGTTTGCCAATTCACCTTCAGTTTCCGGGCTAGGTGAGTTTGTAGAACTAATCGGAAGCTAGAAACGCGAGAACAACATCGCTTGTCCAAGCCAATTCATATTCAGTCGGTTGATCCCGACTTAAATAGGGGTGGAGTCAGAAATCAAGTCAGGGGTTACTGGGCGTCCAAGGGATGCGGGACAAAGAGCTGAACTTCTATTCTCAGGCCATGGTACAAAGCTAATTTATTTGCCCGTCTAAGGCCTTGGGAAGGCTCCCTAATTGCACATCGCCCCAGTATGATATAAACAAGTCAAGCAGTAGTTGGATGAATTCGTAGCGCACTGACAACAGCTTATCTAGAGTTCGGCGCTGAACAGCGTTCTTGTGATTACCGTACCACCACAATGGATTATCTAAACACAGGCTGGTGCGTAGACATACTCGCGCCTCTCTGTATTGTGCGCCTGTAAACAGCTCCTCTACTGGACTCCTAGGTGGGCAATCTCATTCAGCGGTGAACTTGCCTTACGCTAATTTTTTACTTATGCCATGGCACTTGACAGTGTCCGCAATTGCACATCCTTTCTGTCTAATCATTAGAAGTAAAAATAGGTCATTTATGTTGACTATTTCTGCACAATCAGTATCATCAGCGCAGTTGGCATGCTGGATAATGTTTTAGAGTGAATTACTGAAATTCCCGAGAGGGTCATCTTTTTTCAAAGATATAGAACATTAAATGGTGCTTTTCGGGAAGTGATGTGGTATTTTCCAGGGGGTTGACCTCTATTCAGAGAAGTCTCTTCTGAGTGTATCATTGTACAATCAATTAAATAGCTATATTTTTACCACTGATATTAAATAAGGGTTGAAATTGTCGTATGCTGTACTAAAAAGTCTGAAGATCACTCCCTCCACTTTCCTACCCCTGTAAAGGGGAAGATGTGTTGTTTAGCCGAGCTATGAACTTTCCTGCGTTCCCTGTGTTTGATGCGATCCTTCGTTAATATGAACTTTATCAGGCTCCCATATCCCACTACCCTACCAAGGTGGATTTGTTATATATGATTGTTCTTGGATGCATCATCGTCGTTGATAGCAGTACACAAACTCGTGGTTTCTGCCCTCTTGAAAGCAGCAACTCCTCCTGGTGAGGGTACATTTTACGAGTATTACTGTGATAATCAGCTAAAAATCATGTCTGGAAACCACAACCAGTTTAGCAACAAACCTGTGTTCTATAGACATCCATGAGACTACTTGATCCCTTAATGCAGGGGAACTCAAGGCACGAACTCACCAGACCGGAGGGAAGTAGTCTTATTTACGGGTACCCCGTCGTAACTGCGTCGAGCCGAAGTGCGGCTTCAGTAGCGTCCCATGTGAACTCCCCATGCAATTAGACTCGTTGGTTCATCTGTGAGTAAACCAATTTGATCTAGGCGATCATTGCTGCCGCAATACACGGTTCCGTTCCAGTAGCATCTGAAGTCCGATTAGCAGTTGAATTCGCCTGGGGACACCCGCAGACGGATCAGTCGTGCATCACCAGCAGTACAGTCAACATGACTCGCAGGAAAACTGGGCCATCCTAAGGCTTTCTGTGCCCACTTGGAGTCGTCACGTGACCGAGACAACAGCATGGGTCGGAGACAATAAAGCAAAAAACCAAAACAGGCCTGCTTCACCTAACCTCGTTCATGGGCTTATGCGAACTGGCACAGCGTCATCGGAGTTCCCAAGGTTGTTTACTGATTGGATTGTGAGGACCCCATAAAGCAACGCAAAGGGCGGTGTGCGTTCCGTGAACAAGAATATTTTTATTGACTTTTCCAATTAGCCACAGTCCCAGAAACGATTTATTCTCGATCATTTTTGATTTGCTGAACATCATTTGTTCCTGTTTCTATGGGGGAAGCTGAATGATCGATTAGTGTCTGTGGTGCCCTTATCTATTAAAAAAATTCTGCCGCTGCAACAGTGATGCAGAAAGTAACCCAAAAACGCGTAGGACAGATAATAGTGTATACGGGTGTATCGGGCATAATATATCTCGGCTTGTTATCTAGATAAACGTCACGAACTTGAAATCACTCAGATATGTCGCTGCCTGGTTTGTCTAGGCTGCAAAACGAAACCGCATCGGAAAATTCCCTGAAACGAACCATGCGACAGTCACGTGTGCAGCGAATGACAGATTTAAAACTGACTCTATGTACAAAAGCACAATAAGACCGACGCTTCTTTCTAATGAATCATCGTTTCTGTGACTAGGATACTTCCGTCAGGAGCAACATAATCGAAATAACAAGGGACAGAAGAAACAAGGACTGGCTTGTATCTACTGAAAACCGATTTTATTTTTGGTGTTTGTCACACGTGCTCTTCTTGGGCTCCTTACATTCGGCAATGTTTCGGAATCCGGCATGTCGGGAGGTGAAAAAAATGGACTGTTCAAGCTCGAAAGGTGATGCGAACACCGAGCCTAGGTGGATCGGCAGATTTGACAAGGATGGCTCTGATGCGAACCCTACGGTAGCGGATCAAGGTTGGCACAGACCGCTAAACTGTCTCGACAATGAAGTTCGCAATTCATACTGAACATGCAAAACGTACACTCACCCATCGCCTTCCAGGAGGATAGTATTGCAATCCGGATGACACAGCACAAAGCATAAATACGCAAACCCACAGTAAAAGCATACATCTCTTCCGATTCTGGAGACCGTGTATTTCCAGGAAAGACAAACTTATGAAGCGAGCAACATCCGGTGCCATCTCGTGGGATTTTATCTGAACAGACAAAACTCCAAAATGGCAGCTTAGTTGTGACCTCTAATTGATCTCGATTTATCAGCTAACTCCATTGGAAACCAGCAGGTTAAACCAAGTAACATATCACATACTGAGAAACCCATTCATAACAAACCATAGTCTAAACATGTTTAAAGATTTGTGGATAAGATATGAACCAATCAACGTGCATGCCACTACAGGATAGGTTGATTTCCAATAAACAGGTCGTGGGTGAACAACCAAAGGCCACTCGTATTCGACGACAAGCCGGTTGTTTATGCACCGCAATCACTTGATCAAAGTGATAGGTTTGGCCGTGCGAAGCGGAACCTAACTGAAACAACTATCAGTCTGGTAACGGAGATGATTTTATTAGGAAAGGATGCATTCCTTTTTGGCACAACTATTCATTATGGATGGCTAGTGCATACATACAGTCGCATTTAACTGAGAGAAAAAACAATAGAATCGGTTGTTTGAAGGTTCGGGTATTTATAGTTCTCTGCAAATATACTATCCTCCAAAAAATTACACGGACTTTCGCCCTTGATATGCACGCGAAAATGGAATGCGCGCTCCTAAGGAGATTTGAAAATTAATGCAGTTCTCGTTTTCGGAGAAGTTTGGGTGACTTCATGTCAGGACGCGCCCGGAAGTGAGTGCAGAGAGTGACGGATCCCCAAGGTCACCATCGGTACGATACGTTTCCGATAGCAGGTGCGTTGGCGGAGCTCACCAAACACGGCTTAGCAACATAAGACCAGTGGAGCGGGGTTGAAATTGTTCACGACGGCCATTGGTTGTAAAGAGCGAGCAAGTGAACGACCATAATTGACCGTTTAGTCATCCTATATATTGACGCAGAAGCTCTGTATGTTTTGTCCTGATAATACAGCCGTGTCCCGAGTTCTCTATCTTCTTATCGCGTAGTATGGCAGGCTCACTGCAGGCGTAACCAATAGACAGCCACCCACCACACAACACTTTACCAAACGACCTTGTTGCGTCAGAAACCTAAAGATCTTAAACTACGGGATCCAAACCATGCAAGAGGATGCCTTTCGAATCCTTCCATCTATCGTTTTTACTCGGAGCACTGTACGGTTCTCGGTCCTCTCTTACTACAGTTTATGCTTTGAGAGCACATAGGAACTTGATATCGAACCGGTATGGTGCATTACTAGGTGCGGTTAGAGGTCTGACCAACACAGTCTCCTTGCCCTCCAGACTTGGGGTTAGAACATGTGTGGCGACCCGTTCTTTAAAAATGATAATGCACTTGCGAAGCACCACTGACGTGCAGTCAGGCATTCGAGCCAAAGGCTTTTGGTTGAGGACCTTAATCGTCATCTTGTCAACGTGTGGATGTCCTGTCAGTATTCCAGCACTTGTGCAACCATGGCACTTGGCACGGTAGTGAAGCATCAAAGTCAACACTGATATTGCTGTCTCTGGTGATGATGACTCCGTGTCCGAGTTCAGACGATGTGACTGCTGGATCAATAAGTCCACTATTCGTGCTCGGCAGTGCATACAGATATAGGCTTAGCTCTGGATCGCATTTGTTTGTTCTCAGAAAAATGTAATTAGGCAGCACAATGATACATAGTGCAGTAAATGGCGTGGGGCGATCGACTGAAGCTCGTCATAGTTGTTTTGGTATTTCATGACCTGTAAATTACGAGTGAAGACTGTCTGACGTGGTCGCAAGCTTTCAACGAATTAGCCGATAGGACATATTGAAACTGCTCCATTGGCGTATTGCCCTGAACAAGCGAAGACAATCGAAGAGGTATCGAGTAGCCAAAAACCCCTCTCAGATAGATATCGTTGGGCTATTTTACCTATGGACCACTTCGTGTTGACTCTGAATGGTATTCTAAATCGGGTTCAGAATGTTAACAGGTTAGCAGTGCTTTACTTTGACGACAAATGGTGAATACAAATCACTGGATGAACACAAAGTACGTTTTCGTGTGTACATGGATCAGCGTCAACGTTCGCAGCCTTTCTGAATGTTACCAATGTGACCGTGTTTAAGGGCAGACGGAGAACCACTCAGAAGTTTCTTTGGCCTAGCTGACTGAATTAACTAGCACTTACGGGTTCTTGTTGGTTAGTGTGTGGATAGCTGGGTTAGGAGAGTTGTCATCGAGTTGAATCAAGTTTCGGAGCCTTGCTCTGCCGTTTTGAGACCGTTCAAATCTCGATTGGCGTGGGCCGGGGAGGGCAAGAATAGTTGAATTTGCACTTTACACTAGACTGCTTCACTGATGATCCACGTGTCAGCTCGACTGACCTTAAACCGCCAGTTGATTAGACCCACTGAGTAACAGATTTCTTGGAATACCTCCTCCAACCCGAATTTCTGGTGATTTTCGGTCGATTTTTGTGCTCAGAGCTTCTAATCGGCTAGGGATTATTGAACCTATTCTGGTGTATGCTGCCCCGGATGAACGATGGACGTGTTGCTTGCGTAACACCATAAAAACCCTCAGTGGACACTCGGATAAAGCCCACTAGCCACACAATGCTCTTTGTTACAAAAACTTCACGAGTGAAGTGGAACTTTTTGCGCCAGAATGTTGCATTTTGTTGCGTGTGCTAAAACCAAAAACCATTCTAATCTACGTTCATTTTTGCAGCTCACCGAATTTCAGTCCACTGAGGCAATCATACCCCTCGCGGAAAGTCTGGTGGAATACATTCCTAGCATCGTTGAGACCGCGTGATGCCTAGATGGTGCTCAAAGTTTTGACTCATACTCTGAACTCACTTGCCTGTCTCTTTAGTCCATAAGAAACACGTCGTAGCTTTCGGAAATTTCGGAATAGTGAGCGCCCGCTCGGACCCGACTAAAGCTTTCTCTTAAAAATCAACCTAAATCGGAGATACTGGATATCCCATCGCCAGATCTTGATCTTGAAGGTGTAGCCATCTTTTCACCCACATACATGACTGCACAGCTCAGCGCCACTCACTAAATCACGAAGTCTCTTTCTTCCTATACTCACAAATCACGCCACACAATCGTGACTCACTTGGTCACACGGCTAACAATCGCTCTCTAGACCACGGGACTCGCCTTTTTTCCCTACGCTTACAAATCACGACACACAAGGGTGACTCATCTGACATTGACTGTCTACCGTGAGATAAGCGCAGCAACAAGTCCTGCGCTGACACCCACATACACGCAACCTTAACTACATATAGGAAAACCGAAGGCTAGCGACAGGCGCGCGCACGGAGCAGAAAGTCAGCTGAACTCCGCAAGTCCACGGACAATTATCGAGCACGGTTAGCAGCCATACTGCGGAAAAACACGTCCCCGCCGTCCAGACTTTCACCAAGAAATTCTCGCAAACGATAAGTCCCTCTTTTGAATTGCTCCACATTTCGCACTGCACTTATTTTTCTACGTGTTGCAACTCACCATTGTCAACCATAGTAAAAACTTTTATTAGTGCATATACCTTCTGAATTATATTATGCCTACCATATAGTGTGCACTAATGAGAGTCAAAAACAAAGAGACTGAAATTTGAGATATTGGGATGCTCTCAGCTACCTAACCTACCTACCGGGATGAAGCGATAAACTCGAGGTATGGACAAAAGTTTGGCGTCCATATAACCCACCAAATATCACGAACATAAAAAGACTATTATGTACGGTAAGAATGACGATCAAATAACCTGAAGCGCATGAGACAAGGAAACACAGATATTCCAAAAATGGGGTCCTCGAAAGCCAAAGAAACAAGCACTCTTATGGTTATTCTTGTGATTTAACTGAGGCGGAAAATGGGTCCAGGGACATCAGATTATGACGAAATGTATAAAACCCCCACAGTGCCATGGATATGTGAGAATCAGATCATGGGAACGCTGAACAAACTGAAGCGATATCTTTAGAACAGGGAAAGGTCTCCTCGGGGTTTCGTACTGGGTGAACAGGGACAAATTTAGCCGAAGCGACAAGAAATAAATTAGGGGAAAAGGAGGCCAGCCACAAAGTTATCTGATGTAGTTAAGAAGCGTGACTTGATATTTGGGTAGAAGTGATGATCAAAATGGTATCGCTCAGTTCGGCGGCGCCAGCAAAGTCATTCACAGAAAAACGAAATTTGCTGAAACCTTCAAGTCCGTCCGTGTGATTTCAGTGAGTTTAAGCCAACTTGGAAGCCAACAGGGCAACACCACGTTCGTAGAAACGATTACTTGGCTCCTTTGCGGACAACCGCAGAGTGAACAAAACCACACTGCGCGCTCCATTCATGTATACAGGGAGACGAACTGATCCAGGTTGCTCCACATATCGTTCCGCTTGCTCGTCCGCAGACAGTCTAAGTGAAGAAAACAAAAAGGCCAATTTTCAACAAAATGAAACCGAAGGATGCCACCTTGGAGTGTACCTTAAAAACCACAGGAACAAGGGTATGCGGACAGACTAATAAGGCAGATTGGTGGGATTCATCGGAGAACTCAAGGTCACTTTCGTACAACCACCCGCTAAGGGGTATTCCCCCTTAGCGTTACAGGTCAAGAGACACGTGAATAACACCCGGAAATGGCATTTCGACAGCCCGGATTGGAATCACCGCAGAATCCTTCGAACTGGCTGAATCTCCTGTTTTGCGATGTCGTGTGTGGTATGACGATGCATTTTTGAACTCCATCGATAGAATTTGTCCTGAACTGAAATTAGTTTGGATGCACCAACAGCAGATCCGCTATCGGTTAGAGAACTTTGTTTTGAGGAGGCTCGCTCACATAACAGTAGCATGCTTCAGCCTCTGTACCTTGAGACTGTCTGGAATTTAATCGAATGGGAATCTAGTTACCACCAGGGAGACTCCTGTTGATATGGTGTCAGAGAGGAACTTCTCAGCTACTGACGAGCCATTCAATGGGTCTTCCTTCATTAGCACCACAGAACGTAGCCGATCGAGAAAGGCTTGCAGAAAGCTGAAAACTCTGAAAGTAGGGCCGTGACTTCCTAATTTTCAGTGTATTCGACGGGGAGTCAAAATAACGCCAGTGGCAACGTTTCATTTTAGACTAAGAGAAGGCTCTCGATCAACCGTCAGAGGGCTCACGTTCAGCGACAATGAGGATCCCAGAATTTCGGCCACCGTGATCAGCAGATTAGAAGGGTGTTACCTGAGCGCAGTGAATGAAACATCTGAACGACCCCATTTACCGGAGAACATTAATGAAGGAGTTCGCAATGTCCTGCAATTTTCACAACTCCAAAAAGGGAAAACTAATGACAACTGAAGCATTAAGGTAGTATGTGAAGAAGGGGTAATAAAAAGACTACTCAAATGCTATAGCTCAACCAGTTCATTGCTACATCTCGCGTTTAAACTACTCCTGCGATTTATCTGCGGATCCTGATTTCTGAACCAAACCCAATGGATTTAGACAGGGTATGAAGAAGAAAGCGATAAATACCAAACTTATAGGAAACAGAAACATTTCAATCGGTTCAAAACGTTTTCCAATCGATTGAAGACCGTTAGACGATCAGTATTTGGTAATGCACAAAATCTGCATCGTACATGTGTGACGTTTGCTTCTTAAGAAAGCATGCGGGACTGGCCCTCAGCCATATAAGACTTGCACAGTTGATGTTGCAAGTGTAGAGTAAGGGAAATGAATGATTTTGACGAATCAGTGGAGGTACTGAACAAGTGATAGAACGATTGCTTACCTGATCCACTTTAACACGGTTAAGGGTAGGTCGACAGATATAGTGTCCGATAGATGGAGGGTAGACTCATCCAACGGCTCGGCACCCATTAAAGTCAGATCACGAACAGTAAACGCACCGGATGTGGACGAAGCAGTCGTCTTTCCGCCCTTGCCTTGCAGCACAAGTTGTACATCCAAGTAAAGTTCTTCCAAAGCCCACCCATTTGATTGAGCGACGAATTGCCGTGTGGCGGTAATGTAAGCCTCTGGCATGAATAAACCTCCAAGCCAGATCTGGAGAACACAGTTAAAGAGACATGAGAGTTTCGAAAAATGAGTCAGTGGTTAAGAGGTTATAAAAAAGCAACAATAAACAGAGCATACCGCAAAACGTCTGAGCAAGAAGCCTAGGAATAACAAGGGTCTTATCAAGAAATCCGTCTTTAGGGACCCATTTCGGAGGCCTTAACAACCTGGTGGTATTTCCCCTTAGTCTGCGTCGAAACTTCGCCATGGTTATTGAAGTCCCGGTGCTGTTTGCACTTGGTTACTCACATGCTCCACTGTACAAGTGCCTGGAATTTCTTAACGAAGCTAAATGAGTAAGATACAACAGTACACTTCAACTCGCCTGAATATCCCGCAATGCGGTAACGCCACCAGTTGCAGCAGCCTCACTGATAGCCACAAGTTGCTTCACACGAAGACCAAAGTCACTGATCCACTGAATAACTGTCATGGTTTTGGGAACGTTGTATTGCCTCCAGTCGCTGGGAATCAAACCCTTCACCAAATCCGACATCATTAAGCGGTACCGATTGGTCGGTTTGCGTTCACCGGCACAAACCTGCAGAATAATTAATAATAATAAAGTAGAATTAAAAGACTAGCAGATCAACACTTTAGTTCGGTAAACTGCAAACAATCGGGATACAAGAAGGAAAGGCAGTAAAAGAATGAAGAGGGTATTCTGGTGCTCCAAAAACGTACCGCACTAATAACTTCTAGATCCTGGCGAACAGAAGCCAACAGATTGGACCCGCTATTCACCTCCCGCTCAAAGAACCGATAGAGAGGGTCGCGCAAGTTTTCCACTGTTCGAGTCAAGCGTTTGACCGTTTTCGGCAGAGAAGAAAGCCATGCTGAGGCACTGCCGAGTAGCTGGCGCATCCACGGAGGTCGTGAGTCGGACACCACGGACGATTTCTTGCGATCAAATGCGCTGATTGGTAAGGATTCATCATCTGCTGCAGCTTCTTGCAGTTTCAAAAGATTTCCTGTCATCACCTGGCCTAAACGACAAAAAAAATTCATGGACTGGGTTCGATTTGTTTCCACGTGCGTACATATTTTTGGTCTGATAACTTGAAATAACTGATAAAAACCATAGCAATCGAACTTAATGGGCCTGAAACGCCAGAATAAATGAACTAAAAGGATGCCAGAGCCAAGTTAGTATGTTGTGCAGGTTAGGATTGACCGAAATCCATGACCCAAACAGCAATTAAAAACAAACCAAACGGTTCGGGCTTTCCAGCCTCCGAATCTTCTTGCTCCAATGCTAAGAGTTTGCGGATGTTCTGTTCACAAGTAATGGCTGGTCGCCGAATAATGGAGAAGGCAACGACAATGAAACAGTGATGATAATCGATCGGTGAACGCGATAGGGGTAAAATGTAATCAATCCAAGCATGAATGATAAGAAGTTCGCCCATAATTCAGTTGTATGGCGCCTAGTTTAAACAGCGATTCCATGCTCATTGTGAACATATAGGTTAGTTAGACCTTCAGGAGGAACCGCATTGAAGCAAACCTTCAGATTTCTCCACTTCGCTCATTAGTGCTGAATATCAGCCCTGAATATTTGTCTGAAAATTACAAATCATCCTGTTTGAGTGGACGCACTCATTAAGAATAGTGAACGAAGTGATCATAACCATTCCGATGAAATAGTCGCCTGGTTGCTCTGCCTAATAAGGAAGAATGACACTATTTTGTCTAAATGATATTTAATAACAAATGTTAGTCAGGCGCTCGTGGCCAAACGGTTCAGTATTCAAACTACTAATCCAAACTTCCTCCCACTGCCAAGAAGCAGTTTGGTTACACTATCCCTAGAATCTGGCAAGCTTCTAACAAGTTGTGACTTGTTGGTACTATGATATCCCCAAGTTTCATAAGGAAGCATCTCAAGAATTCGTGACCTTCGGGTCAGTAGTTGAACACTGAAGTTGGGGCATGTGTTACTAATAGATATGATTAACTTGTATCTAGACGGGAAGCAGCGCTACTCATTTCTCGGTCACTCGGTTCACATCACAAGGTCACGTGTTGACGGGCACCTCCAGTGGCAACCTTCGGATGCAGTGTTCATGTGACTTGTGAGATCCTTCCGTTTTCTTGGCAGGCTACTCGAAGTTTGTCGGTAGCATAAGATTGTACCTAAATTCCAATTGGGAATTTATTCTGAAAGCGGAATCCACGCTGGTACACTGAGAGGCATTGTATTGTTTCCTTCGCGTTGGGATTCATTATCCTCACACGATCATTACCCCAGAACTGGTCCTTAAGATACGACCACCTTACTTCTACCATTCCAGGAATTCACCCACACAAGTTGATTGAGCATCAGAATAGCAGTACCTTCCAGAGAGTTCTAACAAAATGTCTTCTTTCAATCCCACGACATCAAAAAGTATCAGAACTATGCTGGTTTATAGAAGCCAACATTTCGAATCCCATAAAAACCGACTGCTTATTTATGTGGGGTTCAGCTGCAATAAATTTGTGAATCACTTCAAGTGCTCCAGTTCCACAAACAAAAGTGTTGCTCCGATGATTACACAACAATAGAAGATTACTGCCCCGATTTAACAAGTGAGTGCAGTTACGAAGTTTGAACTTGTCCGATAAGGCCAGATAGATATCAGAGATCCTGGTAGTATCAGAAAATAGGATGAACATTTCAACATCTCTCTCTCTCTGTGCAGAAAACAATGCTGACGAAATGGTTACTCGCTGGACGTCTTCAACGCAAAGTTGGCTGTGCATGAGACTGATGTGTGAGACACAAGTGTTAACTACTACGCTTCGATACGCACATAAGCGTGCAATCCAAATAGGTGTTCCATATTTTGGATACCACCGGCCGCGTCAACTAGAAACCTGATGAACAACAAACCTATTAACAAGGAAGCTACACTGCGTGTGTTTATAGGCGCACATTGTAATAACCACCCAAATAAACAATCGAATGCAGACAAGAAACGGTGGATGACCATGAGAGTGAATATAATGAAATTCCTGGCTCATTAGGCAATACATACCTAGATTGGTAAGTAGGACTTTTTCAGCGTTGTTTGGCAGACCGAGCCATGACGGTGTTTGGACATCCGGCAGTTTATTGATCCAAGCCAAAAGATCATCACGACTACTGCCTTCCGGAACCAGAATATGTTTACCTGCATTTCCATCCACATCGCGTACCAGTGGAAAGTCGTGCTAAAGAATAGGCGCGAAGACATGCAGGGCAATAATAATATCCAGGACGTGCAGTGACACATGCAAACGGTTCCGTGTGTTCGTCTAAACAGTGTATATAGTGAATGTATATGGTTGAGTTTATGAAAAATGACACTGATTCCTTCCAAAGCAGTCTAGCACATTAAACAAACCTACTTAAGATATAAGACTCTGAAAATAACGCAGCATTTCTGTATTTCACAAATCACGTAGCTGGTTGGTGACCAATCTATTAAAAACGCTAGGTTTTTCTAGTCTAATGGATACTATGACACCTACCTCAAAACTGGCTTCAGTGAATAAAACTGACAAAAACGTTTCCATGAGTCGTTGATCAAACGAATTGTCAATCTTTCCTCCATAAATACTTTGACCTAACAGTGTGCGCAGTGCCGCCCATGGGACTTTCTCTGGTGGCAAATTGGTACGTCCCATCGCAGCACTATCCACCCAAGTATCAATTGTGTCACAAGCAACCTTGAGGTCGGACTCGTTGAACTCGTAACGTTTGGACCAACCCAGCGGTACGTAACGCAGACGCTCCTGAACAACTGCGTTAAACCAAGCCAGAAGGAAGTAGAGTCGAGAACGTTCCGCAGGGGCCTTGGAGATCCGAGCAGCCGGAACACTGGCAAATGTGCGTAGCAGGCTGGACTGCAATGAGAAAGAAATTGAAACCAAGGCTAAGGAATAAAACAAATCTCATCATCCGGCTGCCGACTAACACTTGAATATAGGGCACAACTGGTCTACTTTCACTTGACATATAATTCCAAGCAGTTTGCACATATTATTGGAACAAGCCATGCACATCGTCGCTGAAAAAAGCACTGAAAATCAAAAGTATAGTCGATAATTGGCTGGCTCAAAATTATCGCATCAAAAGAAACAATCAATAGATCCCTAACAAAGCGTGAAAACAAGCCGCTGGAATAAGCTTTCATTGTGGCTCGAGTAATTGCTGAATAGGAGCACTGCAGTGAGACTGAACAGCTGAACGACGAGAAACCCAATTCCATAAGACGTACTTTGATTCCGGGTGGTGGTTCAAACACAAAGGCTCGTCCGGCCCGCAGCAAATTGACCGGAAGTTTTGGGTTGATTTCCATAGTGAGGAACAATCGGAAGTTCGGATGCGGCTGAACACTATGCAGTTTTTTCTCCAACTGGACCAACCAACCAGGAGCCAAGTGAACGTTCTTCAGCATAACCCATTTGCCGTTCTTGGCCGCCGAGTTGATAGCCTTGTCGGCTTGTGAGAAACCTTCGGCCGAACCTATAGCAATATTCGTTAACTGTTTGTGATGCTCGGACGCCATATCCTCTACGCGGCCACTAGGATCAAAGCCCTGAAACCGAAATGAGTATAGACGGTTTACGTTAGACCGTATTCAAGTACAGAAGGAATGTTCCTCGAATAAGAATAGCGTTGTCAGGGTCCAGCTAACTTCCATAACGGACCGACGGGGACGGCAATGAGGCACCAGTGGTCTGGTTTGGTATTGTTGTCAGTGACGATGATGTGGACAAGAGTGAATCACTTATAAGAAAGGGGTGACAATTCCTCATCTACTTGGAAAACCGGGTGATGTTAATTTAGCTCTGGCCATTTGGAATGCTTGTCTCTGGTATGCATTACTGTCGCAAATTGTGGGCCCTGATTGTTTCGTAGATAAGCATGTTTCAGAGTGAGGCGCATCATAGAATGTGGTGTTGGTGGTCGTTAGTAGTCAGCTTAAGTAACGGTGCAAGGGGGTGATGGGCCAAACTGTTCAATGAACGCCCAGTTGTGAGGATGGATTCAGCCGTATTGGACCACATTAATGGAAGAAGGGTGTCCAACGTTCCTTAAGAGACAGTAATAACAATTGGTCAGCTCAATCGTATAACGAAGGTTTCCGGAAGGAGGGAATTACTAAATTGATTGGAACAGTTGAGATGGGGATTTCCAACACTTCGAATTTCGGGAGGAAATGAATCACCAGAAGTTGGTCTATGGGAATGTGCAGCGCTAATACCGGAAACATTTCAATTAAGAGGACGGGAACCCTGCAAACCGAAAAATCGGCGCCAGTAACAAGCAACTGGTCAGTTTAAAAACAGCTGTCTTTTTTGTTGTGTGGATAAAGCAGTAGAGTGTGAGACAGAGTTTTCTTCAGAACACGTTTTCAGTGACGAAGTAGTACTGTCTAACAGATATGCTCTTCAATAACGCAAGCAAACGTTCAGAAAGCAGAACGCTCATACTGTGTAAGGAAGGGTGAAAAGGGTACTTCCATCTGTCATTCGAAGCGTCAAAATTGTCAGCGACAACTTTTCATCACTTCATAAGCGCATCGCTGAACATTGAAACGACTATCGCATAGCTGAATATCCGTAGGAGACAGCAGTCCCAACAAAATGAATACATCGCAACGACTAAGCAAATACGACCCTTCAACTGTGTACGTCAGTCGTACGACAGGTTGTTCAGCGACGGGGCGTATGGCCACCTCTCGAATATGACTGTCTATAGGTGTGATAAGAGTGAAATAAGTTAATGTTCACCCTGAATGACTGTGGTGCATATTCCTGAATAGCACTAACACACCTAGAACGAGATGCTGTCATCGAATGCCACGATGGAGCTAGGAAGCCTTAATACTTAATACTCAAAACGCTGCGTGAGAATCCCAAAAGATCATTTCCAGGGGTGTAAGCAAATAAACTGAGTTTTTTCCATCGGTACGCGACAGTTACATCTTGCCGAAACAACGCTTCTGATGATCCAGATTCCAGTTAGCTATTTGGGTTAGTTTCACCAGTATGCGGTTCAGTGGCCTAGTGAAAGCCAACCTTCTCACTGTTGGATCGTTTGGACTATCAACAGTATAAGAGTTGAGAAATGGGCCGAAAATGGCATAGTTAGGGATCTATCGCCATCCCGTTGTGGATAAGTCCAAAGATGACTCCGAAAATGGTCAGGTGTTTGGTTAATGGCAGGGGACAGACGGCAAGATCAAGCAAATGCCCCAATGTAACTGCGCTCAGATGTGAACCAGTTGAACCAAAGAGCAAGAGACTAGCGAATCGGTGGTTCCATCTTAGTGGGGACCTACTCTCCGAAGAAACGCTTCACTCGGGTCCCATGAGTACTCATTATATTGGGGGAAGCAATGCGTTGAGATAGTAGAACGGTTTTCTGTTCAAAAAACAGCAACATGGTTTTGTAGCTTAAAGTAAAAAAACCTCGTTGAGGCAGAGACAAGGAATAGGAATCGATAAAACCTAAAGAACGAGAGATGGAAAGAACACTAGCTGATGAACGAAGTAGTCAGTGGTGTACGTTGATGTTCGGTTGAGAGAACGTGTCAACACTCAGTAATTTGGAAGTCCCAACTAAGTGGATGGGTTTAACACGCTAAACTAAAAAAAAATCACTTAATCAGTGGCTAAAAATATACCTGTACAGCGCAAAGTAGAATCGGCATATTTGATCGTATCTCCTGTTCCACAATGGACAAAAGATCCAAATGCCCTCTGGCCTCGTCCATGAAAGTTTCACCTAAAGCGGCTGAAACCAAACGGTGTGCGGATGCAAGCAGCCTATCCGGGCGGAAAGCTTGAATCAGCAGAAGATGATAAATGGAAGTTTGAGCCTGAGTGAACCAACTTGGAGTTGGCCCCTCGGTTTTGGCTGGTTCCCAAAGGACTGGAACGTTGGCCTGCAACGAAAAAGGATAGGGCGTAGAGAGACTGAAGTTTCAACCTGATGAACCGAACCATCCGGGTTTCGTAGTTGTCCAAAGGCGAAACACGGAAAGTGAATACTTATATGTGCAGCATGCACTGCTGGAGTATTGGTAACTAGGATGCACTTACTAATGGTTGATGAGGCACCTGTCGACCTGAGTCCGGAAATCGACTTGAAAACGTTTCGCTACCATTCGGAGGAATACCATCAGTGCGCGGTGTGGTGCGAGCAAATCATAATGTAGACTCTTCTGAATATTTTCGGGACAAGATCTATATATATATATATATATATATATATATATATATATATATATATATATATATATATATATATATATATATATATATATATATATATATATATATATATATATATATATATATATATATATATATATATATATATATATATATATATATATATATATATATATATATATATATATATATATATATATATATATATATATATATATATATATATATATATATATATATATATATATATATATATATATATATATATATATATATATATATATATATATATATATATATATATATATATATATATATATATATATATATATATATATATATATATATATATATATATATATATATATATATATATATATATATATATATATATATATATATATATATATATATATATATATATATATATATATATATAGATCTTGTCCCGAAAATATTCAGAAGAGTCTACATTATGATTTGCTCGCACCACACCGCGCACTGATGGTATTCCTCCGAATGGTAGCGAAACGTTTTCAAGTCGATTTCCGGACTCAGGTCGACAGGTGCCTCATCAACCATTAGTAAGTGCATCCTAGTTACCAATACTCCAGCAGTGCATGCTGCACATATAAGTATTCACTTTCCGTGTTTCGCCTTTGGACAACTACGAAACCCGGATGGTTCGGTTCATCAGGTTGAAACTTCAGTCTCTACGCCCTATCCTTTTTCGTTGCAGGCCAACGTTCCAGTCCTTTGGGAACCAGCGAAAACCGAGGGGCCAACTCCAAGTTGGTTCACTCAGGCTCAAACTTCCATTTATCATCTTCTGCTGATTCAAGCTTTCCGCCCGGATAGGCTGCTTGCATCCGCACACCGTTTGGTTTCAGCCGCTTTAGGTGAAACTTTCATGGACGAGGCCAGAGGGCATTTGGATCTTTTGTCCATTGTGGAACAGGAGATACGATCAAATATGCCGATTCTACTTTGCGCTGTACAGGTATATTTTTAGCCACTGATTAAGTGATTTTTTTTGAGTTTAGCGTGTTAAACCCATCCACTTAGTTGGGACTTCCAAATTACTGAGTGTTGACACGTTCTCTCAACCGAACATCAACGTACACCACTGACTACTTCGTTCATCAGCTAGTGTTCTTTCCATCTCTCGTTCTTTAGGTTTTATCGATTCCTATTCCTTGTCTCTGCCTCAACGAGGTTTTTTTACTTTAAGCTACAAAACCATGTTGCTGTTTTTTGAACAGAAAACCGTTCTACTATCTCAACGCATTGCTTCCCCCAATATAATGAGTACTCATGGGACCCGAGTGAAGCGTTTCTTCGGAGAGTAGGTCCCCACTGGGATGGAATCACCGATTCGCTAGTCTCTTGCTCTTTGGTTCAACTGGTTCACATCTGAGCGCAGTTACATTGGGGCATTTGCTTGATCTTGCCGTCTGTCCCCTGCCATTAACCAAACACCTGACCATTTTCGGAGTCATCTTTGGACTTATCCACAACGGGATGGCGATAGATCCCTAACTATGCCATTTTCGGCCCATTTCTCAACTCTTATACTGTTGATAGTCCAAACGATCCAACAGTGAGAAGGTTGGCTTTCACTAGGCCACTGAACCGCATACTGGTGAAACTAACCCAAATAGCTAACTGGAATCTGGATCATCAGAAGCGTTGTTTCGGCAAGATGTAACTGTCGCGTACCGATGGAAAAAACTCAGTTTATTTGCTTACACCCCTGGAAATGATCTTTTGGGATTCTCACGCAGCGTTTTGAGTATTAAGTATTAAGGCTTCCTAGCTCCATCGTGGCATTCGATGACAGCATCTCGTTCTAGGTGTGTTAGTGCTATTCAGGAATATGCACCACAGTCATTCAGGGTGAACATTAACTTATTTCACTCTTATCACACCTATAGACAGTCATATTCGAGAGGTGGCCATACGCCCCGTCGCTGAACAACCTGTCGTACGACTGACGTACACAGTTGAAGGGTCGTATTTGCTTAGTCGTTGCGATGTATTCATTTTGTTGGGACTGCTGTCTCCTACGGATATTCAGCTATGCGATAGTCGTTTCAATGTTCAGCGATGCGCTTATGAAGTGATGAAAAGTTGTCGCTGACAATTTTGACGCTTCGAATGACAGATGGAAGTACCCTTTTCACCCTTCCTTACAGAGTATGAGCGTTCTGCTTTCTGAACGTTTGCTTGCGTTATTGAAAAGCATATCTGTTTGACAGTACTACTTCGTCACTGAAAACGTGTTCTGAAGAAAACTCTGTCTCACACTCTACTGCTTTATCCACACAACAAAAAAGACAGCTGTTTTTAAACTGACCAGTTGCTTGTTACTGGCGCCGATTTTTCGGTTTGCAGGGTTCCCGTCCTCTTAATTGAAATGTTTCCGGTATTAGCGCTGCACATTCCCATAGACCAACTTCTGGTGATTCA